ACACACACACACACACACACACACACACACACACACACACACACACACACACACACACACACACACACACACACACACACACACACACACACACACACACACACACACACACACACACACACACACACACACACACACACACACACACACACACACACACACACACACACACACACACACACACACACACACACACACACACACACACACACACACACACACACACACACACACACACACACACACACACACACACACACACACACACACACACACACACACACACACACACACACACACACACACACACACACACACACACACACACACACACACACACACACACACACACACACACACACACACACACACACACACACACACACACACACACACACACACACACACACACACACACACACACACACACACACACACACACACACACACACACACACACACACACACACACACACACACACACACACACACACACACACCCGTACATGCATGCGCGCGCGATACACACACATATACACTCTACTTCTCTCTCCTTCTCTCTATTTCGTCCTGCAGACGCTCTTACCCGAAGGACTCGGCTCATTCTCACCGCTCATGGCAGTGTCGTGGATAGGAAGTGCAGATTGCCCTGTTTAATTACTGGTTAGGGATGGATGGGGAGCTTCGAGGGCAATCAGCCTGTTTGTATTTGCTCGCAGGTTTATGTCGGTTTACCCGTAACCCGCGCCATCCGATTTCTACGAGACAGCTCAATCCACGTAACATCGTCACCCGGCGACACTGTGGTCTCCGGCTTTGTGCTTCATGTGATGCGAAATAGATTAACATAATCGAAAACAGCGCGACGATAATGTCGGGATTTGTCTTTACCTGCGATTGTAAAGTGAGGGATAAAATGAGCGTATTAAAACGACGAAAAGGATAGAACGAGTGGATAAATTCTACTAGTGGATAAATTTTATGTTGAACAGAAAAATCCGCGCGCGCGCAATACTCTATGTGTATAATAATTCTATCTTATTCATATTACCGAATTAATAATTTCGCTAATGATTCTCGCGTGTTCGTTTTGCAGAAACTTGCAATGTTCGTTAAACTTACGAGCGATACTGCGAAAGATGTCTCGGCTTATGACTTGGTAAATAACAGTATGCGTACGTGTTCGCAACGTGGTCGTCGTTTTATTACACCGTTGTAGGAGCTCAAAACTTCAGCGCACATCGCGCCGTACCTTCTTTCCTTCCTTTTCTTCTTCTTTTTTTTTCAAGAATCTCCATTTCGCAAAGTTCGCGAAATCCCTATCAAACTTGGAAGTTTGTTTACTTCGAGGGCGCGCTATCTGAACTAAGACCTCCGTACGCATTTCCAGATAGTTGATGGTAAGTTTAATGGAGATTCTATAATTACTATCTTAGTATGGCACTAAATTATTCACGATTATCTAGATTGTAGGTACATGTTTGCTAAAGTGCATGTCTAGTTACTGTTGCAGTTTACCACAGCTACAGTGCTCTTGTTACACTTCAATGAAGTTAATGCCGTTCGCCGATGCAAGCTGCTTGGTAGGCTAAGGTGGTTGCCGAGTTACGCCACGATGTTCTATGACGATATACATGTAATTCTAATTGATTGTGAAATGTAATTGCCGCATAAGCGTTAAAAGATTCATGCGCAAACACGACATGTGCAAGTCGACTGTACAAGACATCTCAAGACAATTAGCAAGACCGCAACAGGATATTCTTAATCAAGGTTATCTTCCGAAAATGTGCAGCTTGAAAATAATAGAGATAGATGAAATACAAGTCCGTATATTCGATTTTTCTCGTAACACGAACAAAAAATTAGCCGCACTATATAGCTAATATATAGCTGTAGCAGCCAAGATGTATCAATCAAATAGGCTTATGTTATTGCTAATAAAGCTAAATTTATTAGCTATTTGAACTTTGACGCTATAATAAAACATATTCAAAAATTTTTCTAAGTGAAATTTCATTCAAAAAGTAGAATCAAGTCACTTAAATTTGAGTGATTTTTTCTTTATATAGAGTGAATTTTTTACTCTAAATCATTGAATAAATATTTTCACTCAAAGTCGAAGAGTACATTTGATGTAATTCACTGTCATAGGAATATATTCATTCTAGTTTACTAAAACCTTTATTTATAATATAGAAAACAGAACTGCAAGCTAAGCTTGAGTGAAATATTCATTCTTGCTACATTGAATGGCAATATTTTCACTATCTCTTCGAGAAAAATACTGTTACTTTTCATTTATTTTTAATAAGAATCCACTCTAACAAATATAGAAAGTATATATAATAATAATAATAATATAAGCTCAGTTTAACCCGTAGAAAACATGAAATTGACTCTTCGTATTATAAATCTCAACTAAGATTTCCCATTGGTTTTTTTTATTAATGCGCACTTTGACGCAAACACGAAGATTGATGTCTTTGGTACGAGTAATATATATATATATATATATATATATATATATATATATATATTATTTATGAATTCATTTTTTACTCTACTTTATCATAGTTGTCGGAAAACCTAACCGCATGTAATTATAAACTTTTCTGCAAACTTTTCGTATTTTTTTTGGCATCAAAGCTAAATTCTGAAAATATAGTGGTGATCTTTGAAATTTTCCTAAATAGAGCATCCACAGTTTCGGTATGTACAACCTGCAGAATGTTTGTATTAAACAAATATTGCACTAACTGACAGCTCAAAATTTAAATTGAAACATATTTTTTTCGTTTTCGTCACATATTGAGCAATGCTCCAATTTATTTTTGCATGCGCTTATGTTGTGTAAAAGCGTTTGTAATTCTGTGCAAGCAACAAAACAAACTTTGCAAGAAAAAGTCAATGTTATGTCGGTAAAGTTTAGAGATTACATTTTTGTTCATTACTTTGCATGTGAGAGAAATCAACAGCGATTCAAAATATTTTAACTTGATTAATTCGAGATTATTAATTTAGTGCCATTATATATAATGATAACATGATATACGGCGTTGACCGTTTGTACATATACCTCGTAATATTAAGCTTCGTCCTAACTCCTCGATACAGCATCCTGGCTTCTCAATGCAACATCCTGATTCCTAGCTATCCCATCGTAAGTTTCCTCCGAATACCCTCTTATAGCACTGACATTGATACTTGCGTAAATACAATTCGAACGAGAAAACTTACGTAAATTAACACGACGTCGACGAGAGCTTAGCTGCTTTGCGCGGGACAAAATGGTCATTACACCACAGATCTGTCCTTTATCGCACTCGCTACATTTACAACACGGTAGAAGCAACGAAAGTGCAGACACTAAATACAGATCGCAGCTCTACCATTGGTCATGCTCGGTAAGAACGTAACGCGTTTAGCATACACCATTGCCCGTATTCATAGTCGGATCTTATATTTAAGACCGTCTTAAGTTTATCTTCAGATGCTTTATTACCAATGAAATCATCCATAGACCATTTAAAAATGAAGATTACTTAAGACGGTCTTAGAGCCTCCACACAAGAACATCCGTAATATGTTAAGTTTACGGATTTCTTTGTGCATTGACTTTAATTTAAATTTACGTACAGGTTTGGCCATTGTATTGTCAGCAGTGAACTATATACATACTGGAATGCTTAGTCAAATGGGAAGAAATGGGCCGAGTGAAAGGGAAAACAGGAACCGTTTTCTCTCTTTTTATTGTTGTACTATTCGATCTGAAAACAACGGCTTGAGCGGTTTGAGTTTAAAAACGATATTTATAACCTCTTTATAAAGGCTGCATTCTGAAATTTATAATATACGTGACATAAACTATAGATTTCCAATACTGGCAGTAAATTTCGGAACGCAGCCAAAATAGAAAGAAATATTTCTGTGAAGGATAATTGTAAGCAGAAAAGAGCATAGAAATTTTCAACCAATCAAAAATCACTAGATAGAGAAAGAAGTAGTGCCTTCAGCAACCTATCTCTTTGTTTTTGTGCCTTAAGTATTGCAATAAGCCTTCCAGTATGTATATAGTTCACTGATTGTACTTAATATAACGTAACATGTTACAGATGTGCTTGTATGTTAGAGTCTCCGTACAAGAACATCCGTAACCAGGATTAGGTACGTATAATACTTCACGTTTTATGCGTGAAGTTTTATGTGCAGAAAACTCGAGTAATCTGCGCAGATAACTAAATGAGGTTTTCTGCTGCATAAATCTTCTTTTAGAGCTATTCCCATACAGCACAGATCTTGCAGCAATATTACTGCAACGTTGCAGCAATGTTAAAAATTGCAGCAGTGTTGCCGCAGTGTTGCTGCAATGTTGCTGCAAGATCTGTGCTGTATGGGATTCTACAATTGCGTAAACATGGTCGTAAATAGTTGTAAATGATCACAACAACCAATCGGAATAAAGTAATCAATGAATAAAACATTCTGATTGGTCAGTTATAACTGTTTGTATATAAGACAAAGCATAGATATTTGTCCATGATCATGAAAAACATTAAATTGTAAATCTAGTTCATCGCTGTATACCATTTTTTAATTTCTTTATATCTATATATATATATATATATATATATATATATATATATGTGTGTGTATATATATGTATATGTATTAATGAAACTGATTCAAGAGCAGCGAGTAAGATTATACCTAGACAGAAATGAAAAGTTGGGTCGACGTCGATTCGACTTTTCATTTCTGGCTGGATAGATTATTTCAAAAGGCTTGGTCTTCCGTCTGGAGGTACGTACATGTAGGATTCTTTTCGAACTATTTATTTTTTGGCGAAGTCGTATCGTTTCGGTGGTGCGCAATATCTCTTTTCAAATCGTGGAGTGGTATTAAGGCAAAGTGCAAGCTGTCTAGAACTATATATTGAAGGAAGAAAAGTTATTTTAGGTTAAAGTGGGCGTGTCTCAGGGATTTTCTGCATTTTCTGCATGTTTTCTGCATATTCTGCGCGTTTTCTGCGTATTCTGCGCATTTTCTGCGTATAATAGACATTTTATGCATATTATGCGCAGAATTGTGCACAATACCTTCCTGCTGCGCATATTACCATCCCTGTCCATAATATGTTAAGTTTACGGATTTTCTTTGTGTGTTGACTTAAGTTTAATTTTACGTACAAGTATGGCCATTGCATTGTCAGTACTTAACGTAACATAATATGTTACAGATGTGCTTGTGCGTTGGTTCTTAAATATAAGATCCGACTATGAATACCGATTATAGCTGGTATTTATAGTTCGATCTTATATTTAAGATTATCTTAAGTACTATCTTACGATGTCATGAACCAATCACAGAGTCATATTCGCATCTTAAGACATTACTTAAGACGGTTTTGAAATAATATTTGACTATGAATACTGGCCTATGAATACGGACACATATTTGCATCATATCCGTCGGTAATTACAACTAACGTATCAATGTGTGTGTTTCGCGTCGTTCGCTGAATGGAGTCGCTGAAAACATCACTTGCTCGTGGGAAGATATACCAAACGCTCGAATAAAGTAACAGTGAAGAGGGTGAAATCAAGCGCGTGAATCGTCGATCGTCAATCACCGACACATACGTCGCGTCCGGTCGGTAGATAACAACAATCAACATGACGCGCGACCAAACATTGCGGACCTTCAAGGCAGTCAGGACGTCGCTCGTGCGCCGCGCGTACCGCTACACGATTGTATCGTGTTTCGAGAAGACAAGAAATAAACTCCGCAACGCGCAGTGTATCACAACGTGAGTGTATCGTAAGTAGACTATAATTCGCGTCAGTTCTTGAAACATTGTTTATGAATTCTCGTTAGTACTGTGATAGTTAACACACGCATAAACCTAACCTTACTTAACCTCCGATCGAACTGAATGTCCAGTTGTATTGCGACGGAACGATCGGAATTCACAGGACGTTGAGATGATCACGATCGAATCATTACGTTTCGGAACAACGATAGATAATAAACTCCGTGAGGCGACGTATTACGACGCTGTGTAAGTGTGTATCGTTTCGTAGATTATAATTCGCGTCAGTTCTTGAAACATTTAATCGGGCTCTCATTAGTACCACGATAATTAACGCGCACGTAAATCTAACCTAACTCTAATCTACCCTCAAGTCGAATTGGATCTGAGTGAATTGGACGTGAGTGTTAGGGTCACAAGTGAATATTGACGGTATATTACGACGGAATCAACCGGAAATCAGGATGCTGAGTCGGGAAATCAGGACGGAGCACGCAGAATGTCGAGGAGTGAACAGGGATGCACATATATCTTCAGGTATGTCAATCATTTATTATGTGGGAGGTTTCCAATTATAGCGGATGTTTACAAACTCGCCGAGAATAAAGAACGACCTGAAATATCGGCATTCATAGATTGTTATCATTTGGGAAACAATCATATTTTTGTAATCTCTGGTTATTCGATAATCTGTATATATACTTGTTATACAAGAAACGACAAACATCCACAAACAGCAAAATAACAATTCATCGATAGAAATTTGCAATTATCTTCCTAGGATTATGTATGACTTGGTAATTAGAGGACAGCTCGGTCTACGACTCTGTACTTTTTTTATTCTTGAAAAAAAATAGTTAACAACTATTATTAGGTTTTGACAATGTCGTGATTGTCGAGATCATGCTTCGATCAAATTTTGCGATTGTTTCTAGGCAATATTAACAAAAGTATGAAGCATTAGATCATGAATGGACTATTAATAGAATCAACAAAAATTTTTATTCGCAGAAGATTCGAGTTACGTGGAAACATATAAATATACGAGATACTGACTTGAACAAATTTAATACATGTAATTATATTCTCTAATATATTTTGATATATTCTCTCAACTCATGTATATATGATGATATACTTGAATAATACTTTAATA